AGATAATTTTCAGTAGTTTGCATAGTTCTAAAAGTTTCAACCTCTTAGTTGTATTTTATTAAATTTGATTCAATACATAATTCTTCCATTTTTTTCAATACCACATGGCTAAAGACTTTGCTGTTTGTTAGAACGTGGTAGTCAGGATGATGTGTATACAGGAAAACTGTTCTACATTGCCATTGAATGCAAGCTTCCCAATGGTGCACCGTGCAATCAACTTTACTACAGCATCTGAACTGACATGAGCTGATACCAGAGTATTATCAGTGAGGTTGTAGGAACAGCTCTCCTACTCATCCTCATCCTCCTAAGCAGTGTGGTGTTTTATATCACCAGTAGTGCTGCTTCTGTTGGTCAGATAAAAGTAACTGCTCATTACTTTGGCTTTGAACTCTTCTCTTTTCGTTTGAAACTCCATCTCACTATGTTCTCTTAAAAACTGGACTGTGTCACTGCCACTTCTCCTCTGTTTACATCTCTTCCGTTCTGGATCCTCTCGGAGTCTGGATCCCATTTTTCTAAAATCAAGTTTGGAATCTTCAGGGGATATTCCTGTTCCTTTCGGTCCACTCCATCTATGAGTTCAGTTAAACATAAACTATATTAAAATACAGTAATTCATTGACATCAAGGATAGACTCATTTAACCTTGGCGCGTATATATTTACCCTGGGCTGCTTCATGGCAACTTATACATAAATGCTTTTGCTAGCTATTTTGATAGAGGATCGGAAGGAATATTATGGAGTGGATCGGAGAAGACAATTTCCGATCATATCTACTAAATAAATCTCATTTGCCTTCCCAGCAAGACAAACTGGTACTGTGAATTTAACCGCAGCTTATGGAATACAGAATTATAATTTGAGGCGATTAAAGAAGCCTGTATGTTCAATTAAAATAAAGCATTGCCAGAATGAAGGTAATGTTCACTCAAGCTACAACAATCAAGCGATTATACATTGAGAATTAAATTGTACTAATGTGCAAATTTTTCTCTGAAGAGCTGCACAGTTAGCGAGCTACCACATGGAAACACAAAAACGGAACTGCCCTTCATGCTCCAATAAATATTCAAACTGCATGGCATGCAGTAAAACGTGGAACACCCGTAACAAAAGTTAATTCTAACGCTAACTTGTAATCCTATAACACTAACCTTATTTTGGGGTGTTCCTTTATTTTATGCATGCAGTTCAAACTGTTTGTAGCGTGCATCCATGTCTGAGGGAACCGTGCCTTGGAAGCTTTTACATCTCCCCTCAAATAGGTATCTTCAGTTGAGGCCTTTGCAACACAAGAATAAATCGGAGCAGGTGGCGGAGATTTTAACTGGCTTGAGGTGAAGTTCTAATTTGCAAATCTCCAGCTCATGAGTTTGCTTGAGGAGTTCAAGTGTCTCAAGGTCATCGTGTAGTGATATGGTGTCATTGAAGTACTGTAGGGGCAAAACTGACTGTGTGGCTGGCAAATGTGCTGTGGATTTACCGGTACTGATGTTCGGGATGTTGTTGTTGCCCGTGGGGGGGCGGTTGTACGCCGAGACGATTCGATTCCGTGATATTGAAACGCTCAATTTCGCTAAAGTCGTCGCCCAATTGGCGAGACTGGCCTCAATGCGATCCAAAACAGCGGCGTGGAAAGAAAGAACTACATCCCATTGATACTTGGAGGCGAGCCGCATTAATGACTTCAAATGTTGCGTCATCAAAGTTTGGTCGGTTGGCAATTCAGAGGTCAAAATATCGAGGTAACCATAAACGAACTCCGAGGTAGAGAGGTCTTTAAACTTCTTCCGGGCGAGGCCGAATGGGACGTGCAAATGGGGCCATTCTTGGGGTTTAACAATTCGAGTGTTGTGGTCGAGTTGACCTTGTGACTTACCGCTGTTAGATCCAGAGCGAACTGTTTCCAATGAAGGAACTGAACTGAGCTTAGTGGGACTTGACGGGTTCAAAGAACGTGCCTTTGACTGAGCCTCAAGCTCCAGCAGACGAACTTCTAGCTGCTGCTTTTCGATTTGTAGGTTGAGTAGCTGCAAATCTTGAGAATTGCCAGGCGAAGAATTAAACATTGAGGCTCCACGTGGCGTGAAAGCGTCGGTCGGAGGCCTGGATTTGCAAGCGGAGCACTGTGTGGCGGTCTTGCTAACGACGGCAAATCGTACACAAAACCAGAGGGCAAAGGCAGAATCTTCGTCTTCCGTTTTCCAGCAGCTTGAGCCATTTTAAAAGTAGAAAAACAAAGAACGGAACGATAGAGCGTAAATCAAACAGCTAGTCGAGTGAGCGAACAAGACTGAAAGTGATCGAATAACACAGACATGTCACTCAACGCCTAGTAGGAAACGGCGAGGGTCCTGTGGCTAATTACGTTATTCCAAAGGAATATGAACCATGTGGTTTTGTAGCACTTTGGCACAGGTTGATAGCAGCTAGATATCTATCAATATTATTACCTTGACAAACATTTTCAAAGTGTCACACATGGTGATGCCAAAGAAAACTTGTTCATTGTGTAATAAAATTTCAATTGTGTAATTTAAGTCCTTTTACAAGCCTATAGTAGGTGGCTTAACAGGTTGGGACTAAGAGTATTGCTATTCCCCCTCCAGCATTTTTTGTCTTGTTGCCTCTGACAATTCCAATGCGTGAACCATACATGTAGGCCACCACATCTCGCACTCACAGTGGCACATAAGAAAACTTGAAGAATACATCATAAGTATTATTGTACAAGCCTGATGAGTTTTTTAACTGTATAAATAATTATTACAACTGTTGTAAAAAAATAAACAAACAAATAAATAAAATATTAAATTAATTAATCATATGCAGTTAGATTTATAAACAAGACTACTTAATTTTCTCCTTACCTCTTCATTTTGTCTTCTTACACCTTTTGACATAATGAAAAGAAAGTTAATAATGTCATTTTAGAATTTTCAAAACAATGACAATACTTTTTAAACACTTAGTCAGTCAGTCTCGTGAAAGGTGTGATTTTTTCAAACAGTGTACTTATCCTTTATATATGCCTGGCACATAAGTAGGCAACAAGTTACTTCCACTCAGGATGATCTTTAGCTCTTCAGGCAGCTTGGCCCCAGTTCAGTTGGAGTTCCTTCAGTTCCCCTTCGACTGTTCAACACCATGTTGTTTGCAGGTGCCCATATTTGCCCTTTCCCTCCGGAGTTGACAGCAGACATGTATTGGATGAAAGGCTGTTCTGTGTGAGTCATAAGGTCAAGAGATGCGAGTCGAGACCTGTAATGTTTCACACTAAGATGCTTGCAAGAATTTTGGGTGCAGTGCTTTACACCAATGGAAGATGCCATAATTATAAAAAAAGGAGTATTTAAAGAAGCAAAATTACACTGTTGACAATCAAAGACTGACCGCAAATAAGATGCCTACGATTATGACATATTCAATGAAGCATATTAACTGTGCTGCGATAAAAATAATACACAAACAACTGTTTATAGTATAATGTAAGAAAAAAGAAAGTGAAAACACTCTTTTGACCCAGAGTGACAGTCAAAAGTGTAGCGTGTAGCATCTCCAGTTTGTGGGGTGTGGTAACTAAACAATTACTTTTTTTCCCCAGAAACATCCTAGTAGGGATTAGTTAGTAGTAACAGCAGAAACAGCGCTCCACAAAATTTTGCCATCTAGCTGTACATACTGGTAATAAACTAAACCATTAAACATGCAGTGCATAGATCTCAAAACTAAATCAAAGCGATCCACAATCTATGATGAGAAGGCAGTGGTCACTGTCCAGCTTTTTTAGCTCCTTGGATAATAAATAAAGTTAGTAAATTTGTACCTCTGGATAATTATTTTCTAGCTTTCTGATTGGTTCCCTCCTCTATGGATCTGAGCCATTATTCTTAAGTTGACCAAATATGGAAAAATGATGAATTTCTAATGTATTGTATATCCAACAAGGGCGAATGGAATAATTGTTTGATAAAAACATCACTAGCTTTATGTTAAACTTCAGTAATACTTTTTAAAAATTTATAAATCGACTGAGTGATTTTTCAGTTCAATCTAAATGAAGCATGGTTTGTATGAAAACGGCGGCAAAAACTGCTGGCGCGGTCTGCCAGTTCAGTTAGCACAGTGAATGAAAAGATAGCAAAGCAGAATTAATCTTCATTCTGTGTCTTCTAAAGTTTCGTATATTCTGAAAAATTGTGCAAATGGTTTAGCTTAAAATGGGAAGATCAGAAAGAATTGTGGAACTGAACATTATATTCATTTTACAAGTTGAATGAACAGCTGAACGGGTTGTTTACGGCGAGCAAATCGTGCACAACTACAGAATTAATTGTGTTGAAACCAGCGAAACTGAACCAGTTAAAATCTTGTTCACTGAAGTAAAACGCAAAGGAAAGCGTCAATATCTACATGGATGGAGAGAAAAAGAGTGACCTTCGAAGATAATTTCACTGTGAAGTGGTCCTCCTCGATTGTACTATCACCAATGCTTGACGATCGATCGACTGCAATATTTATGCTTTCTCGTTCCCGATATTTATTGTGTTGATTTTGAAAGCTTACTCCAGCTGGAATTGACAAGCCTCTTCTAAACACAAGGTAACAATACTGTATAGGTTAAGCTTAAAATTGTAGTGTAAACAGGTTTTCATTCAGTTTAAATTTGTGCAGATTTGTATTGGTTTAATTTCAGTTCGGGATTTCCCGTAAACAAAGTTGTTTCAGGCTTCCTTGCATGCAGTGCTCGTTCAGTTGCATTTGTTGTACATTTGTAGGCATGTATTTTTCATGGAGCAGAATTTTTTTTTTTGCATCTTCCTTTTATTTGAGTGTTTGAAAATTTACTAAAACAGTTATTCTTCTCAGACTTGCCGGATATGAGCTGATTATAACCAACTCGGCGAAGCGCCTCGTTGTTTATATATATCAGCTCATATCCGGCGCGTCCTCGAAGAATAACTGTTAATTATTCAGCATGTCATGAGCATGGGACTACAAACTGGAATCGAACCCATGACCTTCCATACACCAGTCAGATGCTCTACCACTGAGCTATAGAGACACTAAGTTGTGTGGTGAGCAGTCAATTCTATGTTCATATGTGACATCATTCACACTCAACCTCTAAGTGCCAAGTGGCACACAAGGCCTCTTGTGAGGTTTCAGTAACATTCATTTTTAGAAGGCAGGGTTGGGGGTTTAGCACAGGGCTAACAACCCGGAGGATCAGGGTCCTGTTTTGTCTGGCCCCTGTTCCGCAGACCAATCCGGCTTGGTTGAACCTGCCAGGAGCAAAAAACTCCTGCCGGCATAGCTTGGGGGTCACAAGGACACTCAAGCCTCCCCGCCACAACAAGGCAGAACACCAGGGGAGGCATATGTGACATACGTCCTGCATACTGTTAGGATCAGTAATGTTGAAAGCGACTTTAGCCAAAAAAGCTTTTAGTTTGAGGTGACCTATTGTAACTAAATATATCAAAAGAGTTCCTAAACAGTGACATGTCAAAAGGCACATTTGAGGACAAATGGCTCAATCCTAACAGAAATAGCGGTACAAAATCAATCAATCAACTAAGAAATTATATTACATACATACATATTTTATTCAACGCGTGAATACAAAACAAATGCAAAACAACACACTGAAATGGAGTTTAAGAGGTGGACCCTATGTAAAAAACTCCATAAAATAATAGATAAATTAATTATTAATCAAATAAATAATATATTGAAACAACCAGTCTTGATCTGCAAACTGTGCAAGCTATAATAGGAATGGAATGGATATTACATCTCAAATTTTTTCCTGGGATAGTCCCTTTCTTAGATCCAATTTCAAATATAAAAATTTAAAACGTGCAAGACAGTGTCCTTGACTCGTAACTCAAATTAAAAATACGGGCAATGCCAATGAGAAATGTTTCTGTTCAGTTCATGTAGCAACATAGTCCTTCAGGTAGCATGGTCTCTGTTTACTACGTTTGGCTCTGCATGCCTTCAGTTGGTGGCGTCTCCGATGATTCACTCAGTCCCGCAATGTTGTCATTACTTTTGGCTGTTTGGTCTTTGTCAGCTACAGTCTCTTCTGGATCTGAGTGAGGGTCCGCTGGCATTTCGAAGAATTTCCTGTCCTCAGGATCTTACTTCTCTCCCTTGTCTTGTAATTCCTCACTGGGGTTGCCCGGCCTCCACCAATGCGTTTGCAAGCTTGAACTGGCCCGCATCATGACACACGTCTCGTCCATCAGTGATCCTCCTGGCTATTGTGCTTGAACCGTTAATCCGCATTATGGTGTATAGAATGCTGGTTCAAAGGCTGTTGACCACTTGTTTGTTTTCTTTTGTTTCAGTAGAACGTGATCTCCAGTGGTGATGTGGAACAGGATGGTCCTTGCTCACCTGCGAGAACATCACACACAACACTTTTTACCGACTGTGGGTGAGAAGTGCTTCTCACAAGCAAGTTTAATGTTATGTCCTCATAGTCAGCGAATGGCTCAAATTCCCTGGCTCCGATCCTGCTGAACTTTTGCACCTTGCCGGAGACCTCTGCACTTAGTCGCTGGACTGTAAGTTCACCACGTTGATGAATTATGCCAGCACCACCTCCTTCATCTGCTTTTGACTTTTCTGTACACGCTTTTGCTTCATTTGGGCTTGAAACTTTACCCAAGCTCGATCGCCCGCCCATGTTGGGCGGGCAACTGGGTACCAGTCCCTTACACAAATGTCTACACGCAAAGTATGGTGGTATTCTATGGCAGCCATCGGCCATGAATTTAAAAATTGGAAAAAATTTTGAACGGCCATTTTCAGCCATGGTCATTTTACTTTTACAATGATTTTTCTTTTACTTTTACTTTAAATTTGATTTCAAACTAAAAATGTTTTAATTTTTTTTTTTTTAATATATATTTTTTAAATGTTGTTTTTTCGAATGGCAGTTGTCGGCCACCATAGTGCTCCTTACTGTTCTTATTCTGAGCATTCTGTTTTATCTTGTTGTACTCTTCATCCCTCTTGTTGACAGCCGTGTCACAAGTACTTTCATAGTTGCCCTCTCTGGACTGGTCTGAGACCACTGTCTGTTTCCTGGCTTCTACTCTGACAACAATAATTGGTCTGGATGAGTTGAAATAAGCCATGATGCTCGGGTTCAACACATTTCCACCTTGCCAAAAATTCATAATTCGAAGCATAATAAATAAATAAAATAAAATAAATCAGCCAAATGGACAGAAAAAAACTAGTAAAAAGCAAAGCATTAATACACAGTAATAAATATTGTTGTAAATAAATAAAAAATAAACAAACAAAAACAATGAAATCAAATAAAAAGAAAAATTGCCTCCAGAAAGAAACACAAAGAGAATTAATTAACATCCCAACATGGCTTATAATATATATATATATATATACCCTGTGCAAATAGCTTGACAGTTGCATACAAACAAGAGCACATTTTACTGCTAATTTGCAATTCAGAAAATTAATATATTCTTACCAAATTTATAAGTGTTCCAACTCCATATTAATGCAAGAGGTCATTTGTGTGTTGGACGCTTCATTCTTTAAAGGCTTCTTCAGTCATTGTCAAAAACTGTTGAGGTTTTCTCTTGGCAGTATACTCATAGGGACCTTAACTAGTGAACAAATTTCAGCAATTTAATTATTTTGGTTGGACAGGAACTGCTGGTGGTATGACAGCGTACTGCTGGAGCACAGCTGCAGCAGCATCATGTAACCCCTCTTCATCCACATCTATTGGTTCTCCACGGTCTCCTTTGATTGGAGCGAAATAATCCACGAGTAATTGAACATTGTCGTGGCATTTTGTCAGGAAAATGGTTAGTTCTTAGTCCTTGGTAGAATTTTTTTTCAATAGATGATTACTGTTTCTGCTGATTTAACGAGTTTGAAGCAGTTTTTTTTAAAGGAAAAATTTTATACTGATGCATACAAGTGGCCCGTACGCGTGATAAAGCGCGTGCAAAGTGCACTTCTAGGTTTTAACGAGTTTTAACACCGGTTAAAAACCAGTATTTTTTATATTTATTTGTCCCACATTTGGGATGCGGCAAGATCAAAGGATCGTGCGGTTGTGTGCAGAGGTTACCTTCTCGTCACACGCATGCCGAAAGAGAAGTTAATCTCTGTCTTGCAGGGTAGGTGACATGTGTGCGGCCATGTCATGTCAAATGACCTTGTTTGACTGTTTGATGCCCAAATAATTTAAATGTTATCAATAATAAGAAGAATTCAATATTTACCCAGGAAGCCTACATCACCATAAAGTACAGTGTTCAGTAGTCCCCTGCAAAAAAAATGCAACAAAAGATCAAAAGTAAGTTTAAAAAAAAAAAAACGAAAAAGCTAAAAAATAATAATAACAATTTTATTAACAGTATACCATACTATCAAAATAAAAAATGCTTTAAGCTCTTGAATCAGAAAAACGTATTTGGCTGTCATCGCTGAAGGAGTAAATTTAAAAAACCTTCTGTGCCAACCATAGCCTGTTTGGTTAGAGTAAGAGGAGAGGGGCACTGCCACCGCATGTGGCCTTCCCGCCCACAGTTGAAACAACATTTGGTTCTGGTTTCATGGTTTTGTGGCTGAGGTCCGACAGGAACTTTCTGGTGGTATGGCAGGGGTAAAGAGTGGTAGCTGTCCTCCAGGGAACTGCTGGTGGTACATTGGCAGGATCAGCGGGTACTGCAGCAGCATCGTGTAATACCTCCTCTTCATCACCATCCATGTCTATTGTTCTCCATCACAGTCTCCTTCTATCAGAGCGAAATAATCCACAAGTAATCGAACATCTTCGCGGTATTTCTCAGGAATATGGGTAATTCTTAGTTAGTTCTTAGTATAATTTTTTTCAATAGATATTATTGTTTCTGCTGATTTAACGAGTTTGAAGCAAGGTTTGAAAGGAAAATGTTATACTGACGCATACAACAGTGGCCCCCCCCCATACACGTGATAAAGCGTGTGCACTTCTAGGTTTACGGGTTTTAAACCAGTTAAACCAGTATTTTTTACATTTATTTGTCCCAGATTTTGGGAAACGGCAAGATCAAAGGATCGTGCGGTTTGTGTGCAGAGGGTTCCTTCTTGTCATGTGGCACACCGAAAGAGAAATTAATCTCTGTCTCGCAGTGGGGAAGGTGGCTTGCGGCCATGTCATGTCGAATGACCTTGTTGACTGTTTGATGCCAAATAATTTAAATGTATTATCAATAATAATAAGAATTAAAATATTTACCCAGGAAGCCTACATCGTGTAGAGTACAATGTTCAGTAGTCCCCTGCCAAAAAATGCAACAAAAGATCAAAAGTAAGTTTAAAAAAAAAAAAAAAAACGAAAAAGCTAAAAAATAGTAATTAAAGGGACACTGTCACGGATTCGCATACGCGAAAAACTGCTCACTTCCTGTCGACCATAAATTATTTGGCCACCATTCCATAATGACGGTTAGTGAAAATATTTGCATGTATTTTGTTTCTAATCACGATTATGTAAAACAGATAAAGTCATAATATTACTGTAACAGCGTGCGCTGTTCGCATACGTATTTCCAAAACATGATTTGCATACAAAATATTTTGCAACGGCTGTAATGGCAACGCACTTTTGACAGCCAAGCTTAGATTTATCCATTCGTACATAAGTTTTCAACGGATAACCATTGCCGTTCGAACGGTTCAATATTTTTCTCAACGGATAACCTGGCTTAGCTTCGAACGGGTGAAGATTTTTTTCTGAACGGGTAGCGGCAGCAGTTGGAACATTTTTTCGAACGGGTAGTAGCAGCCGTTCGGCTTGCTAACCGTTCGGGTAGTAAACGGCTTTTAGCCTTTCGAACGGAAAGCCGTGTTGTACGCTTTCGAGTTTCGATCACACATCTCCTCAACAACAAATGTGTCGCGAAGACAGTATCGTATCACTGTATCCTTCGTAACCTGCAACGAATTCGCTTCAAGTCATGTTTTGAAACTGTTATCTTCAAGATAAATGGGTTTTGTCCACTCTCTCTTGGCTCTTGTCGCGGTATT